TCTACTGGCACTTCATGGTCTTTTAACAAAGGATCGGGTAGGTGTGTGCAAAGCATGGAATATAATGGTGGAAATGTAAAAATTCACAAGTGCAACAATTTATGAACACACCTCTTCCTCTACTGGTTTTTCTTCCTAAAAAATTATAATAATATTCTCTTAAAAGAGGGTGTGCACAAGCTAAATGTTTTTGAACACACCTCTTCTCCTACTTCAACTTCAACTTCTTTTTCTTCCTGGAAAATTACACAATTATGAATTCAACGAGTTGAAAGGTGTGTGCAGTGGGAATAAACTTAAAAAAGTGGTAAAAGTGCTTCAAACTTGTGAATAGAACACACCTCCTCTTCTAATTCTTCTTTTTCTTCCTGAAATTCGAGATGATTATGGTGTCATGAAACTTCATTTCCTCTTTGACTTTATTAAATTTATTTTGCTTATTTATTTTCTTTTGTTGTATATAATAGCTGTAACGTCTTTGTGAAAGTTTTTGTGATTGGGGTTTATTCTAATATTTGTTTGGAAAAGAATAATTCTACGAATACGGCTCACCTCCTTCTCTTCTTCTGCAGCCTTCGACTGAGTATCAACTTCTGATTGGCGCGATGACTAAATATATGAAATTTATAAAAGGCAACTCAAAAAATTGATATCTATTTTTTTCTTTCTGCTCCCGTACCTCCCTCTCCTCAAACTTCTTCTTGTAGTGTCCGAAAGGATCGGCGCTGGAAGCACTACCTGGCGGTTTGGACTCTTCCCACTCTTTCAGCGCCAACTCGTACTCCTCGATCCTGTAAATCTCCTAGTCAGCATCATTTCTTCATAACCTCACCATGCCGTCAGGCTATGGCAGAACTTCGCGTCAAGAGGGTTACACACTGTGCGCGGGTGGCAACCAGTTCTCTACGGCATGCGCTTCTTATTCGACGACATCGTCTGTTTGTTGTCCTCAATGCTCTCTGCCTTCCGCGCGAACTCTGCGGAAATCGCGCACAGCTCTTTATCCCTCCCACTATTTCGCGGATATGCAAACACTCAGGCCACTGCACAATGTTTATTCCTCATTGGCAGTTGACGTTGCCGCGCACGAGCATTAGAATTTTGAGCTTGAGCGAAAGTGTAAGATGCTTGTAATGGGAGTAACCGGTACTTCACCAAAAAGTGCTGTAATCGCTTAAAACCAGGAAAAAATAGAAAATACTTGCCATTCCTTCTTCCATCCAGACCTCAACATAGTGTTTCTTGGCGTACCGAAACCAGTCATTCCTCTCTGAATAAAAAAATAAATCATTATTTTGATGGGCAGAAAAATAGGATGACGAAAGAAAAACAGCTTGATAATAAAGTTTACCTGCGAGGCTAACTTGTTGGTACCAGATTGAAGAGGAACAATTCCTTCGGACTTCTGCTTCAAGTCCTCATCAATCTCTTTGCCACCCTAAAATTTCGAGAAATTTTGAGTTAGTCTTTCTGTAAATTAATTTAACTGTCAAAAAATGGATACCAACCACGGTGTGAGGAAGAACATCTCGAACTTTCAGGAAACCTCCGCTACCGGCTTGAGTTGCGAATTTGTTCTGGCCTGAGTACCATGGAGTAAACTCGGTACCACGACGTTGTTGGTCCTCCCTGAATGAGATGATCATGAATAATAATTTGGCTTAGAATACGACAATGGTAGCTTATTGTGAAATTTACGGAAAAAAAGCAAAACTATAATTAAATTGAGGAAATTCCTTTTCACTACTTACGTCATATCCAAGCCTTCAATTCGCTGTGTCGCCTGTCGTACGGCACCGATACCGGGCGGAGCTGTCATTCCCGTTTGAGATGCGAAGATGTTTGTTCCTGAAGCATTTTTTTAAATAAAAAATTTCACAAGACTAGATTCCTTACCATTCTGGAATACCAGCACTCCGTGGGTGCGGCGATCATGAGGAA